CGTCGTCGTCGTATTCGTCGTCTTCGTCGTCGTTGTTATTGTCGTTGTCGTTGTCGTCGCGTCATTCCGCGCCACTCGCCGATTTGTTTTGACATGTGTGTGCTCTGCCATATTGGATTATCACGTCGTATTTTAAGGGCTAAACAGGCGCGAGTTTCGCGCTAAAAAGGTACGCTCATCCTCTTCTCTCTACTTCCATTGACATTACAGCCAAGCTACGACGGACTTCTTTCCAACGTTTCAAAACACCAAACGACCTTCTTTCTGTTTGCCAAAAAAGGAAAAGTTTGATGTACGCCGTTTCTTGAAAAATGGCCGTGGTAGCCGGGGAGTCCTTTCGAAACGAATCGAAATAAGAAACGATCATTAAAACACCAGCGTCTTACAGTTTTAAACGAGGAATTACGGCATTACGGTCGATTCGTGTCAAGGTTCCCCCCGAGCGTATTTGCCTAATAATTTCATGGCTCGGTGATTCGATGGAACGACGGACGACGAATCGCTCGTTCCTACACCAGTTTCTCCAATGTGGGGAAAAATGTAACCGGCGACTTTCGCGTTTCCGCGATCGATCGACGTTTTCGCGGAGTTGTCCTCGGCGAAACGACGCCAACGCGTTATCCTTCCTTTCTACGATTCGACCTCTGGCCAGTTGACGCGACGCGTCCAGTGTTTTCGTTGCCTAAAACGTACACGCACACGCATAATACCACTCTTACACTCCTCTAAAACGGTGTAGTACCTCACTAGTGACGTCGGCGGAGAGTCAAGCGGCCTCAGCAGCAGCTTACGTAATCGAATTGGCTGCTAGTCGTAAAACACACTCATAGCAATCACGCTGATTCACCTTTTGCTCATACTTCGAGATTTTTCTAACCGTCACCTTTAACATTGTCGTTAGTTAGTTCACGGCTAACGTGAAAAACAGATAACCGCCTTATTATAGCACGCGTTTCCTCTCTTTTTCCTTCTTTTATCGAATCTCCAACGATAACAACGGACTTGATCCGAAGTGGCATTTCCGCGCGTGTCTCTCGTGCGAAAAAAAGAACGCGCAAACATTGAACGTGACCCGGTTTACCTGGGTTATTCTTAGCTATAGAGTCTATCCTTGTTTCGCAACGGGCGTTCATCGTCGTCGTCACTTCTAGCCGCACGTATCGAATCGTTAATAAGAGTTAACAAACCTGCACACTGTACTTCTTCCTGCTACACGTTTCTCTCAGCTTGCGATACACCGCACACCATTAATTACCGGCCAATTCAGACAGCTCGCGTTTTAAAAGCAAAAGCGTCGCGTCGCTCGACGACGGCGCTCAATGGGATCTCGAGGGCGCTCGGAAGCGAAACGAGTTTCTTCTTGATTAACGGCGAAAAAAGCCAGTTGATCTGGCTTCGAAACGAAAACCCGAGCCATTCTTCCCCGTTCCGTTCGCCGTCTCTGCAACCGCGTTGTTCGCCTGTACGCCGTTGCGATACAGCCGTTTACGTTCCAGAACGATAGATTTTCGGGGCACCGATGGATCGTGCAACGCGAGAATCGTTTAAGGTACGGAACGCTTAACCCAACCTCCCAGTACCGTCTCTTTTCAGTTTCTTCTCTCGTTTCGACATTGTTGCACCGTTGCAAAACTATCTCGTAGCCGTGTGTCATTGGGTTATTAGGTCGGCTCCGACGAACCATCGGAGCACAACGTACATATCAGTCGCTGAACCTCAAGTATCTCCCGTCCAAACTTTCCTTCCCACCTCCTCCGCGCTCAGCATCTCGAAGGAAAATTTGGCGAAATATGCTTTATAAAATTCGGACAAATAACATAGACCGAATTTTTCCGCTATTCCCGTCCCACGCGGTTATGCTAATAGCAGCCTTTTCTTCTCTCTCTCTCTCTCTCTCTCTCTCTCTCTCTCTCTCTCTCTCTCTCTCTCTTTCTCAAACTATCGTAGCCGATGAACGTTGCGTTGGTGGTTCGTCGACGACGAGTAGATAGAGCGAATGGCGAAGCAGAAGAGGAAGAAGAAGAAGAAACGAAATATTCCGAAGGAAGGCGCGTTTATTGGCCGCAGACTACGTTAGCGTCCGCATTTAACGAATAAACTCCCAGCGGCCGTTTACGTCTCTGAAAGTAACGCGCGGTGCGCCGGCTGGTAACGCTCTTTTCGCGGAGCTGCGCGTGCATTGTGCATACATCGAATGCGGGAATCTTCAGTGGCTGGAGTTCCGTTTACATTTGAATAGCGCCGAGTGCTTCCGCAGACTGCCGCCGGAGAATCGTCGGGGGAAAGCTTTCTCGTTTCGCGGTTTCATTTTTCCCCGAGAAAGTTTCGGTCCCGTCTATCTGTCTGTTTCGCGTTTTCTAATCTCGTTCGTCGCCGTCGTCGTCGTCGTCAATTGTCCGACGAGAGTCGAACGGAAATAACCGGAGAGAGACACGTAGGAAAGGAATCGCGTAAGCGTGTAACGATGAAACGGTGAAACGCGGATGTTGCTCTCGGCGCAACGAATGGAAGATGTGGGAACGTTGTGTCCTGCATTTCACACACAGCCCTCGAACCCTCTCCCTCCGCCTGTCGTCGACGTTCTCCTCTCTCGGCCACGACGATCGCACTTTTTTTTTTCGGCAATTTCGATTTAACCTCACACCTCCCAACAACCGAACCTTCCTTCGACGTCTCCTTCTCTCGTTTACGTCCGACTCGATTTCTCAGCCTGTACGGCTAAAATCGAGGAAGAATTACGGGAGAGCGTTTATACTCGTTAGTTAACGGATCTAACGAACGAGCAAACTGTATCCTTCATTTTCTTCTTCTCGCCCGTTGCCTTCGCGTTTGCCTTCCTACACTTTCTCTATCGTAACAGAGCTCTTACGTAACGTTACGCTTCACCTATCGACTCTCCTCCTCGACGGGAGAGCCTATCTCGAAGCATGCCTTCTCGTGGAAACACGTATCTATCGACAACTCTCCTCCCATCGGCCGTGTCATCGCGCTCCTAACCGAGGAGACAATAGCTACGTATAGGTAACTACGTGAAGTAGGACAAACGTGTTCGTAGAGCAGGCTACGAATGAAATTAAACGGGCTGTAACGTGGCGCATTTGCTTTTCGCTTTCGCATATAGTTTGCATTTAACGTTGCATGGCAGCGATTACGCAAGCCTTCCTTCTAATCAAACGGCGAGATCCGTTTCTCTCTGCTACTTTTACGAGCAAGCGTACGGAGAGGAGCAACTGTTCACGGTGGCTGGCTGCACCGGCGAGCACCGGGCGAATTCTCCGCTGTTAAACGACGAAGAACGGATCAACCGTTCGAATCTGATCACCAGCCGAGAGATATCGTATCCCACACGATACACCTTTGACACGTTCGTTCGAAGCGTGTGCTGGGGAAACACCTCTCCCTCCCCCTCTACGATAGAATCGATTCCCGTGATACAGAGGAAAAGCTCGTCGAATCGGTTCCTTTCCTCGGCAAACCGGGCCAAAGCGGCTCCTCTCTCTCTCTCTCTCTCCAAGCCAGATATATCGATTCCCGACAACAGAGAGGCTACTGCTGAATTTCAAACGGTTTTCTCGGTTATTCGGTCCGTGGGTTATTTTCCATGCAAAACGTGCTCTCACCTACCGTCACAATCCTTTCCCCTCGCTCTTCGATTGCCCCCCCATCGTACTTACGTATAGGTCGTGCGACTGTCCACACAGATTCGTTGCATCGGCATTCTCGTCACGGTTCTCCGAGCAGACCCGCGAGCAGTTCCTCCTTTTACTTCCTCCTTTCTCAACCCTCCGCTAACGGATACGCCGTACAAGGGCGAGAAACGAAAGGAGGAAGAGGTCGAAGAAGAAGAAGAAGAATCGAGAAGAGTGGAAAATGGTCCATTAGGCGCGACGCGTCGCATTACGACCGAGCATCCTAATTATACCGGTATTCATGAAATCGCCGTGAAAGCGTACCATTATAGGTTGGCTGTGTGCAACGAAACAATGTAACTACCCAAGTTTTCGCGGAAAAACACGACGCGCCGCGGTTTAGAGAAAGCGTCGTCGTTGCCTCTCGTCATCGATATCCGCGCACACGGCGATCGATCGATCGCGACCAACATTGATCACCGGAAAAAAAGAAAAAACAGAAAAAGAAAACTGATTTCCCCCGATACGATACACATGTGTTCCCTCTCACCGAGGTCCCACAGGGGAGAGAACCGCAACACTCGATCGCCGCGTAACGACATCTTGCCAACGATTTATCTCTGTACGGCAAAACGAGCTAATCAACGCTCGAAACGTGAAAGTTTGCATTGTAGTAACGATGCTAATGAAGGTAAATCACAGACCGATACCAAGTATCGGAAAAAGCAGGCTGCGAGCGAGGAAGTAGGGGGATGAAGCGAGAGAAAGGAGAGTGCGAAAGGGTGAATGTTGGCTGGTGGTGGAACGAAAAGTGCAAGGTTAGGTTGCGTCAAGGAGGAACAGACGAATATACAGCGTGGGTGGACGGACGGACGGACGGATGGATGGATGGATGGATGGATGGATAGAGATGAGCATACGCTTCGAGGTTGGTCTCGTAAAATATGCAAGCTGCAATCACGTCTCTTGAATAGAAAAGGTCAGGAACAGAGGGAAGGAGAAGGAGAAGTCGGGTAAGGGATAGTGAACAAGGGAGGGGGGACAGACAGCGTGGGAGGGGTAGAAAAAGAGAAAGGGAGAGAGAAGTAGTGAAGTGAAACGTGGAAAAGGGGAAGGGGAAAGTGGAAAGAATGGCGAGTGGGGGGTGATAGCAACGTTGAGAGTAGAAGTAGAGAATCGTGGGCCGAGACAGATACTGGCAGGAAGAAAAGGGGACTAGAGAGAGAGAGAGAGAGGGGGACTCTCCACGCGTTTTGAAGAGCACCGGTCGTAATACTGCTGAAACTGCCAGTCCCTCTCTCTACTCGTTCTGCTACGTTCGCAAAAAATTTTCATAACTAACCGATCTACCACTGCGATTTCCTGCCTCTTCTCTCTTCCTCCTCGTTCTTTTTTCTCCTGTTACCTTTCGATTCCGTGCCATTTGCATATTTCTCCACTTCTGCACCTATGTATATACACGTACATCTACGTGTGCAAGTATACAAGATAAAATGACTATCGTTGTAAATACAGAAAAGACTTTGTTTTGTTGCAGGTTGGGGGCGATCAATGCCCGATGGCGTGGACTGGAACGCAACGCTGGAGAAATCCTGCTCCAGAGTAAGTAGGATATCCTCCCCGAATCGGTAAAGACGACTGACTTTTACTTTCGTCGATGCTCGATGGAATGGAGCAGTTTAGAGGCGTCTGTTCCAAGTCGACATTGGCCTTTGATCGATTCCAAGCGTACACGTACACATAAATACGAAATGCGCAAACAGATCTGGGAAGGTAAAGCGGGTAGCCAGCACGAGTTCTTTCCGTTGCGAAATCGATACGTACACTCTCTACTCGCTACCCTTACTCGAGCACTCTGCGCCCACCAGCGTCCTTTCCACCTCGAGATGGAAGAGCGAAGGTTCGAGTCTTGTCAGTGCTGAGCATCTTTGATCGGAGACAGTCTCGATTGGACGCTCGACAGTCGCGATTCTAATTATGAATAATCGAGGAGGAGCGTGTCTAAGGAAATTTGCTTGTCAAGCGTTATTTCGTCTTAATGGCGACTCGACTATCGATTTCTAGCAGATTTCTCCTCCTCTCTCTCTTTCTTCTTCTAGCCGAAGAAATGGCCAGATTCTCTCGTAGAAGGGAGAAAAAAATCGAGTCTTTCGGCGATTCGGTAGCGATTCGATTTTGACGGTCGGTGCGACGGTTACGGATTAATCATCAGTTATTGAGACTAGGCACCGGGGATCGAGAATAGTAATAGGAAGGTAAAGAGTATGGAAGCAGGGTGTAGCGGTGGTAGGGTATACATCGGACTGTATCGGTAGCCAGCAGCAGACCAATTAACTACTTATAGGGCAGCTTTCATCGGCTCGACAATCGACCGGATCGATTCGGGGTGAATAACTTTTCTAGTCGTGTGCTCAGCGCGTATATAACCGGCAGCCTGCGTAGAGAGAACCACCTATGACCGAGATGGATACGCGCGTCTGTTTCCGCTCGTTAGGCTCTTTTGATGCCCGGTCACTTGCCCGGTCTTCTCTCGGTTCTCGCGGATCGACTCCTTCCCCATTTATCGCGATGCGAAAAGCTCTCTTCTATATCCTCGTGGATAAATAGACAAACGACAAAGAGAAAGCCAGGGGAAAGAGAAAACGAGCCTGAGAAAAGGAGGCTCTTTAATTCGACCAACTCAATGGAGAGGAGCACTATTTCTCCGTCGCTGCTGCTGCTTCTTCTTCTTCTTCTCCTCCTCCACCTCCCTCCGAGCCATTCAAATATCCTTTCTGTTACGCATAATACATTCTCTACGGTAATTGCCCATTTCAATCCGTAATTCTTCGAGACACTGATCATCGGTGAACAGTTTTCGCGCAATGTTGCTGCAACTACACCGACTGCTAGAGAGAGAGAGAGAGCAGCAGGTTCAACGACCTCTGCAAGTACACGTACTTACGTTAGCTAGACCCGATGTCACTTTATTCGATAATTGACAGCAGCGAAAATCCTGGCAGACACCGGCAATTGCATTATCTCGGAAAGCTTCACGGTAAATGCTACGTCCATCCTCGGAACTCGTATATCCTTCCCAGACCGGCATACCTAATTAGGTATACATGATGGGGCTTCTCCCTGGAGTGGCGAACCTGCCACCACGAGCTTTCGTACTCGCTGTTTAATCGATCAATCTATATTCCCATCATTGCCAGCCGACGATTCATCAAGCAACTTTTGATATTTCAACCCCTCGATATAACTACACAGATAGATCGGGAAACGTAAAAGTTGAGCTAAACGCCTAATCCCCGTGTCTAGCCACCGAATAATTCGATCGAGAGTTTCAGAGTTGGGTGTCTGGATGCGATTAAGCCATTAGCCAACGCGCGCGTTAACGTCGTTTGCTCGCTCGCCGGAAGGGCTGCGCGATCTTATTACATCCGATTAATTAATCGGAAATTATTTCACTCTCTCCCTACCTCCTTCCCCTCCGCTCTCTCTCTCTCTCTGCAAGCTCATCTCCAGAGAAGTATCCGTCTTACGCCGATACAAAGTGAAACCCCCCCCTCTCTCTCTCTCTGCAAGCTCATCTCCAGAGAAGTATCCGTCTTACGCCGATACAAAGTGAAACGAGGAAACGAAGGAGAGAAATCTTCTCCTCTTAGATCGTTCTTGATCTTCAACCACTGTTCGAAGCGAGGCGTAGTTTAATCTTACGTGATCGCCGCTTATGTAGTTCTCATAGGTAGCGATGTAACGGGCGTTGCTAATAAACCGAGGTATGCCCGACACACCCATACCCCACCCATGTTACCATACTCGCCAACGACTGCACCTCCATCGCGCATCCTTTTTCATCGATCGATATTGCGATTTAGGTCGATGAACCCCCTGTCCTTCGGTTCTATTGGAAAGAATCTCGCGAGGTTGCTGCACCATCCCACCCACCCACCACCGACAACTCTTCCCGAATCCATCCCATCGATTCCCGAGCAATTAAAGCGTATTCTAATCAAGTCACGGTACAATACCGGGACGATCACGTAACAACCGGTGGATACGCATACATGCGCGTTCACGCTTATTGCGTGGCTGGCCACACTCGCGGCTTCTCTCACCCGTGTACATATATATATATATATGTATACGTTACATAGATAGTAGGTGCGCGAGAACGACGCAGGACACGCGTATCGACCACTGACCCATATACGAAAACGGCTGCGCCGCTCGATACCCATCGATTCCCTCCATTAAACGACCCAACGACGTTTGTTTCTCTTTCACCCCTTTCGGGAACCGTTTCGAATCTGTTATCCTTCTCCCGGCAAGGATAAACCTTTTTTTTTCTCTTCCTCTCTCTCTCCTTTTTTTCTCTCTTTTCGGATTGCTCCAGTTGAAAGCTCGATTAAAGGGGGGTCGACGGTGAGATTGGTTCGTTTGGAAAGGCCGGTGACACGAGAGGACACGGGAGAACACGGACAAATTCGCGCCGACAAAGTTGAATCTCGTCTCTGTGTAAAAGGGGACGGTTGGGTGCACTCGGCTCGTGTGTAAACAATTCTAATTGGAAGGCAATCCAGAAACGAGTCGCGTCCCTAAATTGAGCTGCCTCTACACTACCGTGGAGGAGGATCTCCCTGACAATTGAAAGAGGCGAAAGGACGCGACACGTTTCTCATTCGACCTGTTTGCCAAAGACAATTTACGATTGTTCCAATCTGCTAATTTGGCCAGCTGGTTTTACACAACCCGCGCGCGCCTGGCTTGGGTATCGATCTCGAGAGCGCGATTGCGGAACGATCGATCGTGTGCGCTCGTGGTTACTGGAACGGTTATCCGTGAAAGTTGTTCCAGCCTGGCTTCGCCCCGGCGGCAACTTTTTCCGCTGAAAAATTCGTGCGCCAGAGAATATCTAGGAAACCGAAACCGCCGATTATTGCAAACGAATTAAAAATCGCCGAGAGTGGTAGCAGCAGAGAGAGAGTGTCTCGTTCACGGTAAATCTAAAGAAAGAGCCGAGTGTCGGGTGTCTGAACCGGCTTCGCGTTCTTTGAACCGCAGAAACCTGAAATTCGAAGCTCCGAGACAAAGATGTGAAAAGGGGAAAAGGGAGAGAAAAGAAATAGAGGATAACAGGGCGGCGATCGGTGGAAATCGCGAGGTGAAAAAAAAAAAAGGAGAGGGCAGATTTTTATTCCGGCAGCTTTCGGCCAATTACGATCTTGAATTATGAATCAAACGTTAACGAGCCTGACGTCATCGACGACAACGACGAGTTGCTGCCCGTGCACCGTTGAAAAGCTGAACAGGGAAGCGACAAAGAAAAGCGAACAACCGGCGTGGGGGCGGAGGGGGCGGTGGGAACAGAGGAAAAGAAGAGGGGAATGGATTTCTCGGCTTTGTTTCACGGTTAGAACATTTCGCTTTGGGCAAACTCTCGAAAAAACGTCCGCTCCCTTTCGCCTCTCCTTATTTTTCATCCAGCAGCTATTTTCCATTGCGTTTACGCGATCGAGCACGCTCTCTCTCTCTCTCTTCACGTTGCGATTACGAGACAATTTTCGTACGTATGTAAGTACACTTCCATACCTAGGCCATGCTCGAAAGTAAACGGAAGAATGGTTAAGAAACGACCGTCTGGTTTCCCTTTCCTCGCGAAACGATCGTGGCGTACGGTTGATTCTCGATGAAAGAGAAGCCGCCGACTGCCGGTGGATCGACGATTAGTTGGAATAACAAGCGCGCTTTTTTTCCATTCGTCCCGACGACAAGTCTCTCTCTCTCGACCGGTCGATGGTCGTGTTTCCACGGTAATTAACAATCGCGATTACGGCTCGGCCGAGCAAAGACCGCATTGCGTCAGTACGCGCGGCTAGGTTTGTCGGTACCGCCTCGCAACTTTCCTCGCCAGCCTACCCACCCCTCTGGCCCTCCACCGCGCTACCTCCCTGTCTCACCCACCACCTGACACTCCTCCTTGCTCCCCCTGACCTCTACGCGTCCTTCCCTCTCCACCCTCCTCTCTCTCTCTGTCTCTACCCCTTTCTCGCTTCACCCTTTCTCCTTCTCAGCGCCGACCTCCTCAACCTCGACGTCACGTTCTCTGCCATTACTATCACCACCCACCACAGCCGTCGCCGCCACCGCCAACCCCTCCTCCTCCTCTTCCTCCTCCTCTTTCTCTTCACCTTTCCGCGTCCTATGTTTTTCTCGAGGTACACGATCGAATGTTGGATCGTTCCAACGCGTCAGACTACCCCTGTGATCCAAATGAAAAACTACCACGCGTACGTGTAACTGCGCGTGTGTGTGTGCGTGGCGTAACGTAGCCGAGAGCGGAGGAGGGTGGCGGTGGGGATGTAGCGGCGCGATTAGAAGATGTTTCCCGATCTTCCGCAGGATCCCTATAGAATCGAACGATACGTTTGTTCCAGAGGTGACGATGTGCAACGATCGATCGAGCTGCTGGACAAAGTGCTCTCAGAGTACGACGAGCACGAAGCAGAGGGCGAAGGTGGTGGAGGCGGTGTCGGCGTCGGCAGTGGCTGTGGCGGTGGCGGTGGCGGTAGTGGTGGCGGGAGCGGCGGAGGTGTCGGGGACTGTGGCAGCAGCACGGAACCGAGTATCGGCCTTACACCCGACGACGAAAGTCCGTCCTTAGGTATCTTTTCTCTTTCTCCCTCTTTACCCCTCCACAACCCGCCTGACCCCCGTGCCATTCTCGGCATGCTCGACTTTTCTTCTCCCCATTATCATCGGGATCTCCTCGAATCCCCCGTACACGTGTTTACCGATGTTTACCGATGTTTACCGATGTTTACCAATTTTTACCCACGTTGCTTGCACAATTGGCTAAATATGTCCCGCCGCCGAGTCCTCTTACAATTATACGGTAGCGCAGGGAGGAACGTAAGAATGAGAGAACGTAAGAACGAGAGAAAGCCCTCTCGACAATGGTAATCCATCGAATCTTCTTCGATCGATGACCATGATGAAAAGTAAGGAATGGTAAGAGCTCGCGGTGTCTCCGACAGGACACCAATCCGAGGACGACGGTTACATGAGTATGAATGGACGAAAAGCGAAGATGGCCTTGTTAGCGCTGCGTCCTGTCCCAGACTGTCCAGAACCACAGGAACTAGCGGGGATATCTGGACAAGAATTTCCGCCACCGCCGGAAGAAGCCGAACGAATCATTTCCACCTTGTTGCCGATGTAAGTTTCTCTATATTCGTCGTCTAGAGCCAGTCTACCCTTTCCTCGCGTCCTCTCTATCCGCGTCTTCTTCTTCTTCTTCTTCTTCCAACGAGCAGGGTATCACCAGGGAACTCTTCCAAGAGATCCAGCCATTCGTCGGCTCGTCGAAGCGGACGACAACAGTGGGTGATGGCTATGGAGGATAGCATACGACGCGGGAACGGTAGCGTGATTACGACTCAAACGACCCTCGTGAGTATTCGAGCGCGATATCTCTATATCGAGATCGCCCGTTATTCGAAACTAGCTGAATTCTATACTATGTACGCTTGAATCGCGCGCAGCCCAAGACGCGACACCAGAGACCGTACGGATGGGAAAACGGCAAGGAGCCTCACAAGCTGCCCGATCCTCCCAGCCCTCCCAGCAAATTCGCCAGTCTACCCTACGATGCCAAAGTGTCCTTCGGTTGGATCCCGCCGAGAACCAATCCGACAGCCGTCGAGAAGCATCGCGAAGTGAGGCGCCGATGTTCCGATGAGGAGGGACTCGATCGCGACAACAAACACCATAGGCAGAGCTTCGACAAGGAAAGAACATCCTCGTCGTCGCACCTCAGAAAGCAAGAACGCCAGAGCAACGAGATCATGAAATCGAGCAGCGTCGAGGACAGACTGCTGATGAACCACGGGCAAACCGAGCAGAATGGCAAACGAAGAAGGAACGACTCTGATTCCAGCGAAGGTAGATTCTCGAGAAACTCCGAGAGCGAGAGATCCTCGATACCCAGATCGAGCTCCGTCAGCGTCGAGAGGTTCTCGATGCGAGCAACCTGTGGCTCGTCCGATTTCTCCAGGAACTCCACCTCGAACGAACGATTTCACTCGGACTTCTCGATAGCTGTGGCCAGCGCCAGCTCCAACGATCGAGTCTCCGTACCGACCTCCGATCCTTTTTCCATCAGAAACCTAGACTTTGTCTCGTACTCTCTGCCAACCAGAGCCGACTCCAGCGAGAGATTCTCCGCTCCAACGTCGGACAGGTGTTCGGAGGAACGTTACTCGGACATGTTCTCCACGAGGAACTCGGACTTTTCGACCCGAAATTCGACCGATTTTAGAACTCAGTCCGAGGAGGAGCGGTTCTCCGATGACTCGTTGGAGGAACTTTTGCCTCCTCCGCCTCCCCTGAGCAAGAGGCACTCGATTGCCTGGGAGGTGCCGCTCGAAGACGATCCCCTTTACGCTCCAGGGAGCACCAAGGTGATCGGTAGGAGGCGACGTAAGAGCAGCGACGTGTCCAGTAAGTGATCCACTTACCGTTTCGTTCTTTCTTTAACGCATTCTACATCCTCGTTTTTTCACTTTTCAATTCTCAGGCGTTGGATCGGCGTCGAAGCTTCGCGACTTCGACGACTGGCAGGATCCACGGCTGTCCACCACCGACGACGATCTAGTCTCCCCGTACTCGGACTCCTCGACGAATGACCTCGATCAAATACGGCCTCAAGACTTGACAAAGAACGGTACCTACGTGATACGACGCGGTCGAAAGAAGGAACGAAAAGGTCTACCGAAAGCCCCTACAAAAACCAAGAGTTTGTCCTTCGAGAACGGCGAGGAGAATCGATGCTTATCGGACGTGAAAAGATACTCGAGCACCTTCGACAATATCAGGAGTCTTCTCAGAGAGAGCAAAATGGACGAACCCATGGACGACGATTCGGCGTTGGTATATATGCCAACGGTTCCACCCGATTTGGTCAGAGTACTCTCGCTTCCAGCCGTGAATAACGACGAGACGGCAAACAGGGGGGCGAGGGAGTTGGAAGTGACCGTTGAAGAGGAAGAGAGTTGTTCGGATCTTTCCGATAACAAGGAGAAGAAGTCGCGGGAAATGATGGAGACGATGTCGGTTTCGTTGTCGAACGACAAAAATACTACTACTACCGCTATTTCCACGGAAAAAGGCCGAGAGGGCAACCAAGGCTCTAGCTACTCTGGCACGTGCAACGGAGTAATCTCTCTTTCAGCCTCGAACAGCTACTCCAAGGGTTTCGCGTACACGGAAGAGCCAGGAGGCCCGAGGAAGTCTCCGATACCCAGTCTCGCGAGCAAGATTCCGGTGAATCTGCTGATAGAAGACCAGATCGTGAAGAAAGCTTTGAAAGAGAACCGTCGACAACTGGAGAAAGTCAGCGACGCTATTAAAGAGATCGAGAGCGTGAAAAACAGCGAGCAACGATGGGCGAAGCAACCGTTATCCAAGAGGAGCAGCCTCGAGAGCGAATCGAACGAGCGAAAAGGTTTCGATAACGTGGATGCTCGACAGAAGAAGCAGCAACACCAACACCCTGATTCCGATGAACTAGACTCGGAGGATACCGGGTCCAAGAGCAGCCCTGATGAAACGACCGATTTCGATGGGAGACGAACCAACGGGACGGACGCCTACTCTTCTGGGAAGAGATTGCGACAGAATGGCGTCGATGGGCATAAAAACGATCAGAAGCAGATCGAGAACGTGATCGACGCCATTCTAGAGGACTCGAAAAATCCAGACTTTCAGGTAAATCCAAATCGATACTTCCGAATAAACGAGAACAATCGAATCTCCCATTGCCTTTTTTTCTCTTTTCAGGTAAGTGTTCAAGTTCTCGAGTTTCCCCCATTACCACCGTCACCTGTAGAGGAGGCAGACGAGGAGAGTTCAGACATTGGTCAGGGTAACGCGGTTATCGCCCAAAAGCCTAAAAATCATAGTAATCGAACGATGGAGTACAGGCCTAGGGTACCACCTCACCGTGGACCTGCTAATCATTCCCTACCCGATTCCAAGGATCAACAGACGTCTTTAAATACCCGATCAATGGACGCGGGAATCTCTCGGGGCAAAAGAACGCCGCCAACTGCTACCAATTCCAGGCGAGGAGAGGTGGGTTTTTTTCTTCCAATTGTTCGCTGGCGCCGATAAATCGTGGTACTGCCAATTTGTTAGACGATCGCTTACTCGCGACGGCCGTACCATGATTTACTCGACACACCCCTCCTATATTCATCCACCGGACCGAGATGATTAATCGTGTCATCGTCGATGAATTCGTAGCAAATACCGGTAGAACGAAGAACTTTGCCCACGGACTTGCCAGGACCTTCACGACGGCGACCCTTCACCAAGAGGCACTCACCGTCGGCGGAACCGTGCTCCTCTACTGGAAACGGCGCGTGTTCTGGGACTGTCACGTCTAACGGAGCCAACAACGGAACTTCCAACATCAGTGGTACAGGAGGAACCGCAGGGAACGTGGCAACCGGTACCAGCGGCATGCAAACCTCCTGCTCGCTTCCAGAAACTCCCGTCTTCGCCAGAGGAAGTGACATTCCGAGAACACCTCAACATGCGAGCAATCCCACGCAGATGCGTCGACAACCTGGCTGGTACGCCCCGACCACGGCTACCACCGGGTAAGAATTCCGAATGAAAACGGTGGCGCGTCACAATTTCACCGTCTCACACGCTTTTCACCCGTTACATCCTTGTTCGATCGTGAAAGGATCGCGACACGATTGGCACAACTTGTAACGCGTCCTAAATCGCGCTTGGAAAATGCCGCGCGAACCAGCTAACACGCGCATGCGCGAACCTCAACTTTCCCGCCTAAGCATGGCCGCCGCCACATTCTGCCAGGTTATGTACGACTATACTGACACACATTTGAACGTTTCACTGGAAAATGTTCTCGTTTCGCGTCGAGACATTCCAATGCCGCTTTTCACTCCTCGATATGCTCGTCACGTTGATCGTATAGAGTAGCGCGAATTAGTAGTGCGTTAACAGATCGAAAAGACGCGTTTCGGTGATGAACTCGGTGTGTGACACAGGTACCGAAGGAACAACCCCGGTCTGGAACAGGCGATAATCGGCACGGAGCTGTTGCGATTAGCCGGCGGCCCGAACCGCGGATGGTACCCGACGAGGAAGGCGAATCAACCGCGACCGGCTTCGATCGAGCACCTCGAACGACTGAACAACGCGTACGATCCACGATTACCGGCCTCCGGGGATCAGCGGAAACCTCTCACTCTACCGACAAACATCACACCGAACAAATACTTCGGCCAAAGTAAGCACAGCTCCGCCTCCAGCACTCGCGAGGCGCTACGGAGGGTCACTAGCTTGCTCATCAAGAAAGGTAAGCGCTGGAATTTGCGCTATTACGAGAGATCACGATCGTCGAATCGTGGAACGAACGAACGCCTCTACGGAAAACACGATGTCCATCGCTGGCCAACTCGGTTCACCGCGAATCCTCTCTGCTTTACGAATCGATCCACATTTTACGGCCCGACAATCTTCATCTTCTATGATCCACGATCGATCTTTAATCGGGTCTTAAAACAAATGCATTTCGTAACGCAAACAGCGGTTCTGGCGAACCGAGCGCTCCCGCGACGATGGTTTTCAAACTGACGATCGCGTCGTGAAAATCAAACGGCACGTCCGTTATCCATCGTCGATAATTTGAAAACCAATCCGTATCGAGTTTTCATCACAATTTCGGAATCCCGAATGTAACAACAACAACAACAATAACAACAACAATAATCTCTTTGAAGCAACGCGTGAAAAAGTTTCTCTGACTTGTTTCTTGCGTGACCTTTCGTGGCACTGAGTGTCACCAATTTTATTCTTGCTATGCTACTACCACTCCTGTCAGTAGATTGTTTGTTTTCTATAATTCTATTTGCTTGTTGATAATAACATTTTTTCATCGCTCTCCTCCTAGTATCGTAAGAAAGAAACTACACTACGATCCAGTTTCTTTCTCACGATAATCTTCTACATACATCTCTCATACCCACGTCACACACCTATATGTATTCACACACCTAACATATGTGCTGCATTTTGATATAGCCAATGTTAACATTAATCCGCTGATCCAACGAATCAATTTCTCGTATTTTTTCCCTTTCCCCTTTCGTAACAACTGGCAGACGCTTCTGCAAAGCTTCTCGAGTTCTGGCTACGTTATATCTCGCTGCGTTAGATTTGTTTTAATTTTAGCTAAATTATCGAATTTGATTAACAGAGCGACCTTGATTCGCATTTCCCTCGCGTCGGCCAGGTTTAGCATCCGGTAAGCCACGTGTTACCTCTTGTACCCGTGCAGTGGTTCCATCTAGCGAATGCTTCGCAACTATATAGTTGGGACGAATCAACAACTGACCTTGAAAATATGAACGTACGAGACAAGAAGGATGAAGGAACAAGGTCTCCTCCGCGCTATACGCCGCAGGCTACTCCGTACATTTCCAAACAGTCCACTCGCTCATTTCGTTGCTTCCTCGAAACAGAACAAGCCACAGCCTCCTTCCGTTCCCTCTTATCGGAACATATTTCCAACACTATTTCCATCTCCTTTTCCGCTTCTTTAGAACAGTCTTGAACGCGTAGATAAACGATGCATCGACCTTCCCTCTCTTTCTCTCTATTTGAGTCTTGTAACGTGGACAATGTGTGTGTGTTCGCGTGTGCTCTTCTCTTTTCGAATAGCACAACGTTGTGTGCCACCGGCCGGTTAGGGCAGTCGAAGAACCGGTATAATAAGAATGGTAAATGCTAAAGATTCGCTAGAAAACTAGCAACGTTGCAAGAGAGCACCGACTACGAGATTTTCGCGGTGAAATATCATCTCGTCTCTCCCTATCGCCTCGCCCACCCGCCTCCGTGTTCTCTCGGTATTGATTCCGACTATGTAGAAGTAAGAGTTGTTCAATTCAATTCTTGCTCGCGATTTCCTTCCTACCTACCTACCTCGCTTTTCGATTTCACCACCTGGGTTAGGTTAAATCGTTTCTCGCCCGCTACGAAATTCGCCGCGGCGACAAGCAAGGAGAATTTAGTCGCGTTGATGGAGAAAACGGGCGCGCCACGGATCAATACTCATCCGCCCGGAGATAGCGTCGCTCGCTCGAACCGCCTTTTCTTCTTTCTTCCAATCTTCCTTATTCCTTACTCCTTATTTCTTACCCTTTATTCCGTGTCGATTGTCAACCGACCGACCCTTCTCGCCTTTTCTTTCCCCCTTTACGAATTCAGCGCACCTGTTCTCCCCCGCTAGAAGAAAAAAAAAAACAGAAGAAAGCATCGATTGAAATTCATTTTCTCCGTCGTCGTCGTCGGAGTTCCTTTGCCTCGGAACTCGAAGAGAAAGCGAAAATAACGTGGATGCGCGCGCGACCCTGTGCCGAGACTCTTATCGCCGTCGGTTCTAATTTATTTATAGAACGTCGTCGGCGGTATCGATGCTCGGAAAAAAGTGCTTCCGCGCATGCGAACGACCAGATAACACCTCTCTATCCTCGTCGTTGAAACTTCGATCCCGAAACTTTCGAACCGATCTCACTCCTGCAACGTGCTTACAAGGATAGCGTGCAAAAAATTGTCGTTGGCAACGTGTATTATCGATAGGCAACATTGTAAATCTTTATAGTCCACGCGCTATCGTCGATAATAAGCGATAGGCGAAATGTAAAAATGCCGAGAAAATGCGAACGTCCTCGCGCGATCGTTGGATTCGCTGAATGGTTGAAAAAAATAATCGATCGAGAACGGTAAAGAGAGGGGGAGGGGGATATAGGAAAGAGGCGATTGACCAGCGAGGGGGATGTTTTCAGTTCGGTTAGTAAGCGGCTGGATGGGTCGGGTGCAGAGAAGGGACGACGAGTGGGAAGCCGGAAGGACACGGAAGGGGTGACTAGCTCGCCCCACACAGGGCTGCTCTCTCTGGCAATCGTTACTCCCGTCTGCCGCTGGTCTGTCTAGCAACCCTCCCTAGTCAACGAAACACCACGGCATATCCCTACCAAACTCTCGGGGTTGCATCATGCTCGCTACGACCGTTCACCGTCGGAGCTTCCACGCCGATAGAAAATGTCCGACTTGCTTCCCCTCTATACACCTTACTTATTCCTCGACTCTTGCACCGTCCCATCTCTCTCTCTCACTCTTTCTTTCTCTTTCTCTCTCGAGGACACAACGATACTTTCATCATCGATCTTTGCACACTTTCTCGGCGCCTTGAACCTGCATCGAAAGCATCGACGACGAAAACAGAATGGATATCGATTTAAACGAGGTTTCGCACCATCCACGCGATCAACTAATACTTTTTCACGGAAACTCTCTCGCATCGTCGATATTTCTAATTTTACCTGCGTTATTGCACTCTGTCCGCATGCCGCATAGCGGTGCACACACTGGCGATATACGTACGTGTATATACGTGTGACATCTACCTACCAACGCGTCGGACACACTGTATCGGGTGTTCCAAAACGAATTATTCCTGGTCGTAAAAGGCTAACGTTTTCACTCGACGACGTTCGTCATCGTCCTCGTCGTCGTCCCGTACGATACATGCCGAGACGGTGTAGCATTACGCTTGCTAGCTGCCTGGCTGCCTGTACACTTTACCTATCGTATCGTGGCTCGCGCGATAAACGCATTCTAACTTTCATTTCCACACCTTTCGTTAGACTTGCATACACACTGCTGCTACCATTACGACGAAGAATGTTCTCGTAGTAAATGCTATCAGTAGTGTTTGTTTTGTTTTTCTGGAAAAGCACGCGAGTGCGCGCATATATGTTTGTCGATGGGGACAAACTGTAAAAGGATGGGCCAGAGAGACCGTGTCGCGCGTATATATGTACTTTCGTTTCGACCGGCGCGTCCCAGAACGTCAGCTGGTTTCGGTATGTTGCCGAGAGGGATTCAACTCGTCCTTGAACAAACTTAATCTTTGCCTCCCTTCGTCTCATCTCCGCCGGCCGAGACACTTTTAAACGTTGAAAAGCAACGTTTCGCTTTTTCTCTGCCGTTTAAAAGGAAACGAGATAAAAACGAAAAAACACGAGGACGCGAGGAGGGAGAGACGTTTCGATTATTGGATAAAGTTAACAGTTTGGAAAAATTGTCCACCGATACTTCGTCTCGATGTTTTTCTTTTTTCATTGGTATTTCGATCAGCCGTTCCCCTTCTTTTCTCGCGTAACCTACGGTTGATCGATATCTTTTAAATTGCCACCAGGGAGATAATAGTAGCGACGCTTAGCCGTGGCATTGAATAAGAACCCTAGACACGGCCGTGACCTCGATCGAAGCAAACGCATTTGTGTCTCGCGCTCTTTTCGCTCCTTTCCTTCGTTGATTCTCGCGACCAATCGGCGGCGATAAGAGGAGGAGGAGAAGGAGGCCGAGGGAGTGTCCAGTGAAAATTTGCAATTATCGCATGAACGAGAGGGATCGTCGAGTTTCGCGAATGAAGCGAAATCGGTGTGATCAGGCATTTAGCAACGGATAACAATTACACACAGAATTAGGAGCGAGCGAATTTTTTTGTTTCTTTTCATTTTTCTCTCTCTCTTTCTCTCTCTTTAAATTCGAAACGATGGTATCGTTAGAGAGGGGAGAAGCGATCGAAAATGAGACGTGTGACAGCTATAGGAGAAAAAGAGAGACGACGCGCGTGTCCACATGCGGCAAATTGAATCGTCTTCTTTTACAATGTTGAAACTGTTCGCAAAGAGAACGCGCGTTCTGTCATCCCAAGCCAGCCGCTGAAACAAGATATGGAGAGGTTATTATTATCCTACCAGAAATAGAGTCGTGAACGTACAAGTTACCGGTGGCCGAGAACAAACCCTCGATGGAAAGGGAGAGCAAAGGACTTTGGCTGTACTCTCTCGATCGTTGATCAATTTCGAACGATAGAGAAGAAAATTCAGTCAAGCCCCCGTCAAAAACCCCGATCTCCACGTACGTACACACACACGAACACGCACACACACACGACACGCACACTTGTCGCTGGTGTTTGTTGCGTTTCGATTAATCGGTGTGCGCAGACCATTCCATTTCGCCTCTCTTCTTTAATCGCTTCAACGCTTTCTCTGTTTGTATCCGCCAATATATACTATATATATATATACGTACGTATTGTTGTTTCGCGCGCAACGATCGCTGTTTAAACGAGCATTTATAGTTTTGCGGGCAAGTTTAGCGCCGGAAACTAGGATCGGATGACCGTGGTCATCGGTATGATTGTCGGTTACCTGGCATGCGACACAACAACAGCCGCTCTAGCAGATTTTATTTGGCCAACATCCAAAGGAACACACACACACACGCGCGCACACTTTACTTTGATAACGCCTACTTCTACTTTGCTGGCTTTTTGTTGCGTGGTTTGTGGTTTCTCGCGTCCAACAGCGCAGCAACGAAACATCGTCGCGATACATCGTCGCGATCGATCGCGATCGACCGTAAAAAAGGAAACTTTGGTTTGTCTGTTCCAGGAAGCAGCGGAAGCAAGGATGGCAAGGGTGGAAAGGACAACGCGTCGCCTTGCGGCCCTTACGCCGGTGAGTTTTTGTCCACCGGCAATCTTCTACAAACTCGATTCCCCGCGCATTCCTATCCTCGGAATTGTCGCCTCGACCAAACACCGAAATAACCAACGGCGGCGAATCGCGTTATCCACCTACTCGTAATCACGCGCACGTAGCCTTTGCACACGTAACATAGTTATTGAGACACATGGGTTCGGGATTCCAAAATATCCTCGTCGTTTCCACCAACAGGCCGTCTCCTCGCCTTTAGTCTGGACGTAACCGCGCCTCTATTAATACACTTTGGTTATTTTTGACGACTACCTCTCACTTAGACCAGCAGCTCCGCTTACAATCTAAACGAACATCGCGGCATATTTTCGTTAATTCGAGGCGCTACTTAGCAACAGTCTAGCGAGGATAGCCTATAGATAACTCGGATCGAAGTTAGCCGGATTTCACGGTGAAACGAGATGAAACGGTCCCAGGTAGAGATATGTATGTACGATTATACATAGTCTGGGATGCAGACTATCAGGGAAAGATCAGACACACCCAAGAGTTTAGGTCTAGCACGCGCGCTACATAGGCGCGCACTATTGGTATTGATCCATACGCACCGCTCCGTTGCTTGCTTTATCTCACTTCTCTGCCTCCGACCAGATCACTCCCCCGTCACTTCCTTCTTTCGTTTTCGCGTATCATCACGGTTCGACACCGTCCGCCGTCATTGATCCACGATATTTCCTCTGGCCAAGTAGTAGAGTCGCGATCGAACGCAATATCGGTTCCCGATATCAGTACTCCGTCGTTTCAACCGGCTTTCGATTGTACGCCAAGTTTCCTACGCACGAAAGAACACTTGGGTGCAGTAACGAGGTGGTCCCCTCTGCGTAACAATCGGGGACCACCGACTGGATACGAGATCGAGCAATTTTATCCACTCGGCGCTCTATCGACATACGCGGCGCGGCGTTTACAGAGCGCGGTTAGTCGATTCGA